TTTCTTATCCCCTTGTGTAAAGATTACACAAATTCCATGAGTTCATGCTCCTCGAGCTGTTTTATGATGAGCAGCGGCCTCTCCCAAAGGTCCTGTTTAGTGCATCTAATGCAAGCCAGCCAAAATGTGTTCTACAGGAGTAAACATGGTATAATGGCGTTTGTGCCCCAAAAGCTAGAGAATAAAAAGGATACTTTTACCTGGAGGCCTGATATATTTACTCAATATTGATACATACAAAGGATTATTTTATTGAAAAAATACTGTGCTATAAAACTAAAAAGAAGAAGACATTGAAGAAAAAGAATTGTCTAAAACTTAAAAGAGAGAGAGACAACTCAATGAGATTCTTAAAGATGTTCCTTGGGAAGGGAGGAAGAAGAAACCCCTGTTATACCTAGCAGATATTGTGTGGTTAAATGGAAACTAAAGAAATGAAGGAAAATAGAGACACAGAACATAACCAGGAGATATTTCTGTGATGAGATAGGTCTCAGCATTTCACAAAAATAAAAAGTCTTCTGTGGCCTAAAAAAAACATAAAAAACTAAACATTTAGGATGATGAAAGTAAAAAAAGAGATAGGCTAGACAGAGAATATAGAGATAAATTAAACCACAAAAAGTATAGAGAAATCATATAACAAAGCCTCTATACAGATGCCATTATATAAATAACAATTTTGGGGCTTTGAGATATAAACAATACTTTTGATATACAGAATTCTTCACGCATACATGATTTTTTTTTTTTTTTTGTTCAAAAATACTAAATATACATACAGTAGAATTTCTATGAGAGGATACTCCTGTTAGAAGACACCTCTCTATAAAGTATAGTTTTCATTGCCAATTTTACCATTTTCAATAATTCGCAACACTCTGGTAAGAGGACATCACACCCTAAAGGACACTTTTGTTGAGAAACTAGGTGTTCTTTATTGAGAGATCTGTTCTACTGTATATAATTTGCTGAAATAAAAAATATATATTATTATTATAACAAACATTAAAAGTTACAACATTTGGTTTATAAGGTAACAAGATCTCAAATAGGTGATTTATAATTGACTTTCAGGAATATTTCCCTTATATTCAAAGCTATAAGATAATTCTGAAAATAGTAAATATATTGGTATACTGAGATGTCAGGTATAAATTACTTAGTTGGTCTTGTTATCTTGCCATTATTTTACAACCCACAGTTGATTCTTCAGTTAAGACTTACAAGATTCAAAAGACCAAATCACTCAGAAAAAAAAAAGGAGGGGGCACAAGGAGTTGAACCACGGACCTCTCAATCTGCAGTCGAATGCTCTACCACTGAGCTATACCCCCATATGGTCGGCCTAGTGGCCAAGTGGTAAGGTGTTGGTCTTGTAAACCAAAGATCCAGGGTTTAAACCCCTGTTTTTCACTTAGAAAAACTAATATTTTCCATTTCCTGTATGCAAAGCTGTACAATTTTTTTAAAATATTTTGAAAAAAAAAGGGCAAAATAAATAATTTCAATTCTTAAACTGAACTCTGTTTGGCTGACTACAGTGAAGGAATGTTAAGGAAGCTTGTGGAATGTATACAGATAGCTGTGTCAGCCAGATGGAATAAGTCTTCATAATTTATTGCTGTTTCTTATCCCTTTGTGTAAAGATTACACAAATTCCATGAGTCTATACTCCTCAAGCTATTTTATGATAAGAAGCGGCCTCTCCCAATTCACAATTTGGAAGTAACAATCAAAGAATGACAAAGAATCTGTGTAATAAACAGAAATTCCTTGTCCCTTCTAACCTGGTCTTAAAAGAGAATCAACTGTAAACACAAGGTAATAAGACCAAATCCAAATAAATGATTTGGTCTTATTACCTTATGTTTATAATCTATAATCCAAATTGTGTCTTATCAGAATCAACTGTGTGCATTAAGATATATATATAAAATACCATTTACAATTATGAAATACAAAAGTAGCGCTTACAAAGAAATTGCTAAAAAACTGCCATATATCACAAATACTCTGGTAATATATATATATAAAGCGCTAACATTTAATAAGTACACAGATAAACAAATTGCCAAAATAAATCATAATATAATCAAATACCGAAAAAATGCCAATGTATCCCAATATATATATATTTAACAACAATTCTGTGAGAGAATATATATATAAATACACAATATATATTTACTATACTTACAATTATTATCATTTTTCACTAAAAGAATATTTGCATAAACATTTTTCATCTTTAAATATAAGCAGAATCTGTAAATATACAAATAGGAAAAAATTTGCATATAGAAAGGGTAAAACTTCATTCTTAACATTAATTGAGGGCCTTGGTCATTCATACATAAGTACAGTATAGTATGATATACCAGGAGAGAGAAATCAACAAAAACAAATTCAAACACTGAAGCACAATAAACAGATTCACATTACAAGTGGGAACATTAGAAAACTCAAGTTTAAAAACTGTATATAAGGAGAAAAATTTGTAAGTAAAAATAAATAATAAAGGGAGCCAAGATTTCATGTTTTGGTATAAGCTAATCTACAACCAATAGAGACTGATTCTATCGCATAAAAAACAGTTAGCATTACAAGTAACAGAATGCAGATTTTTTTAATATAAAATAATAATAAAAGGTGACAAGACACAAATAGCTGAGTAACTTCAAGAAAATAAGATCTAATCCAAATAAATTAATAGTGTGTAACGTTTCGGTAACAACACTGTTACCAAAACGTCACACACTATTTATTTATTTGGATTTGGGCTTATTACCTTATGTTTATAATCTATAATCCAAATTGTGCCTTTTTATCACCCAAGAAAGTTTAAAAAAGGATAATTTCCCACTTAACAAGCATTCACGGGCAATTCAAACATAATATCTATACTATATATATATATAGAAAGTTGGAATCCTCTGATGAGTATAAGTAAAAGATTTGAAGCGTACGAGGATACTTTTCTTTTGAACTTTAATAAAGATTCGAGAAGGGCTGTTTTCGCCCGAAAGCTCGAATCTTTATTAAAGTTCAAAAGAAAAGTATCCTCGTACGCTTCAAATCTTTTACTTATACTATATATATATAAGGTAGAAAACTTTCATACATACACACACAGAGGTAATAAACACAATTTGTTAAAAGAGGAAGAGAACAGTGGGCTGGAAAAGAAGATAGATGACAAAGAATGTTGAACATGAAAAATTGTTTAAAAACACCAAGATATTACATCTAAATAAATTGTAGATAAGAAAAAAATAGAATGAAGCGGTAAAAAAGTGTAAACTACCAAGTTGTTAATGTAAATGTTAGGAAACTTTGTTCACACATCCTTGATGTGTTAAATGGTAGTTGAACATCCAGACAGGTTCTGGGGTATCTTGGAATGTAGTTTAAACAAGAAGAAACAACCCACTGGCTAGAAAGATGATACAAAAGATGGAGCAATCAGAAAGTTGTGGCCAGGAGGGAAAAAATGGCCACCAGTCTGCTGAGGAAGCAGCTTTGGTGTGAACGGGGGAAGAACATGGTGTCGAGTGGTGGTATCTCAGTTACCTATGGCACCGCTGGAACAACAACAATGGTTAGCAGGGCAGGACAAAGGCCATCCCTATGTACTGATGAGAGCCAGAGTCAATGTAATACAGGTTCTATACAGGATGGTGGTTCATATTTTTAAATTAAATTGAATCAATATTTAGTTGATATTTATTCTGATGAATATCCTCAGGAGAATATAAGTAGAACTAACTCTATATTATCAAAAGAACAAAATCATCTACGGGTTGTCGAGGTCTACGAGGTCATCTACGGACAATGACTTTCCAGAATGGTTGCAAGGTTTTCCCACTATGTACTAAGTGCAATTCTCAACCTGCAACCCCAAAACACATTATTGACTGTATTGACTCATCCATTGATGAGCTCTACTCGGCAGACACCATCAAAAGTCTCAAGCTCTACAAGCTTGATACCCTAATATGATTGAGTGGAGATAAGAAAGAAGAAAAGAACAAAATCGTGAGACGAGGAGCTTCTTATAAGGTTTTTTATTAAGCTGAGCTTTCTCGAGCATTTCTGCCCTTCTACAAGAATAAAATATATTCTCATTTTTACTCCTGTAGAAGGGCAGAATTACCAGCTAAAAAAAAAAAACCTTACAAGAAAATTTTTCTCTCACTATTTTGTTCTTTAGATAATATACTGCTCCAGGTGATTATATTCAACATAAGAACTAACTCTCTGTGAAAGACAACACTTAGTAGCAGAGCCAAAGTGTCTTTTAGGTGTCCTCTTACTGGAGAGCAGTAGCTAATTGTTAAAAATAGTGTATTATAAATAATTCTGGCGATTGAAACTGTCCTATATAGAGAGAAGTCCACTAGTGGGAATACCGGTTCATGGAGGTACCTACTGTACCTTTGTGTCAACAACAACAACAACGAGCTCAAGGAGCATGAACTCATGGAATTCGTGTAAGCTTTACACAAGGGGATAAGAAACAACAACAATGATAAGTTGCAGTAGACCCACCTAGTGCGGTGGTGCCACCATCATGTAGAGCACCAGCACTGCGGCTGCCAGGGTGAGTAGGAGCTGAGGGTGGACAGCA